TTAATTTGGCACATAAGAAGGCAGCAAGTCTATATTTAGCACATTTTGTATCTTTACTGTGCATATATGCACAGCTGCTGTCTCCAGAATGCACAATTGTGATTCACAGAGTAGCCAAGTTTATTGATTATACTCTGTGGCACATATGGCAGTTCAACAACCAGTGTTGTTTCATTTCAGTAACACCAGAGTGTATGATAAGAAATTAAGATTGTGACAATAAATTAACATAATTTTATTTTGCAAGTTAACTGCTAAACTAGCACACTGTTCATATTTCACAGTCTGGCTTTTATTACTGGCTACTTACTAGCAGAATTAAAGTTCTTTGTATTTCTATACTTTTTCTCTCTGGTGAAAAGGATCATCTCTTCTGAATTTTTAAGTGTTACTCTGAATCTTACAGTGCCTGTTTATGGTTTTTTTGTTGTTGTTGCTTTTTTTTTTTTTTTTTTTTTTTCCCCCAAATTAGAACTATTTCTTAATTCAGAAAGAATTAAGGTTTTGCTCAGTAATTTTACTTAGGAAGGTTTTGTCATGCAGAAAGCAATTGTGCTAGGCAGGTTCTTTAGGAAAGCATTGGGACAGAGGTAGCCTCTGAGTTCAGCATAAATAGAATTTCTCCTTATCTGTCCCCAAACTATCTTGATTTTCTTGTGTATATCTTAATCTTTTGTCTGGTATCACATTTCTCTCTTTATGTTTTATATATTCTCTCACCTAGGGCTCAAACTTCCACAGCTGTTTCTCCTATAGTGATGGATTTTTGCTTTGTTCTCATGCAAATTTTACCAAGGCCATCTGAGGCACTGCCATCATGTCCACTGTAATGGGGGCAAATACCCTTCTCTTGGTAGTCAGCCCCAGTCTTCAGTGGATGCAGAGTATCTGCCAGTAGCAGAAAAGAGGTGGGCATCACCCAGGATTTTTTCTACCTGCATGTTACAGACTTGTACCTTTTGGGACTAATTTTAAATTATTCTTCAGACCAGAAGTCTGTCGAGATAGGAGCATCTGCTACTCTGCACAGCTTGTCACTTTCAGATACTTTAGAATTTTTGTGGGGCTTTTGCCTTTTACCTTTTTACAAAACATCATCCGCGGGCTTTATTTAACATTTTGCTTTTTTTCAGGGACATAGGGACATTGGTAACGCCTTAATCTCCTCTGTCTTCTTCCGGTACTTCATAATCTTTTTTATAAAGATGTTGGAAAGTTTTAGAATCTTATATATGGTTCATGCTGCTGTAGAACAAATGTTGTATGGGCCTATCTACATTTTATATTTATTGTGAGATTGCCTGCAATTACAGAAGACTGGGTTCAATGACACAGCCAGCCCTGCACTCCCTTCAGCGGACAGGTAGACAGAAGACAGAATGGACCTACACCCCCCTTGAATGTCCCAGCGGACAGCTGCAGCATATAACTTTGGCAGTGCACAGAGGATTTTAGCTAACAATTTGGAGCTATAATGGCTTCATGACTACGCAGAAACTGCTTTTTATAGTACTTGCTCCACAACCTCCCTTTACTTCATTGAACCTTCATTAAAACAATATTTCTCTGTGAACGGCTTCTCGGGATCTCTGTTCAGCAGCTCTGTGTGTCTCGATCTTTCCTTCAGTACAAGTTCAGAATCCACAGGAGATTCTTTGGCCTTTAGGAGTCCTGCCAGAGTAAAGTCTAGACTCCTGTAGCATTTTTGGAAAATGGGAAGTAAGTAGCAGAGAATCAAGACGGTCTGCTGAAGGAAGGGTATCTGAAAAGAAGGCATTTTGGGGACAGGATGATGGAGCTAAATAGCGTGGGAGAGAGGGCACTGCCTGAGGTTTTGCCAGTAATTTGGCTAGCACTTCAAAGTTTGTAAGACTTCCTGCAGATTTTCTATGAGCCACCATGACCCCTAGCCTACCTTAAATTGCTCCTGGTCTTTGTGACACTTGGAATTTACTAGTGGTCAGCTTCTCAGATTTGCCTCACATAATTGTTCTCATCTATTGGCTCTTGCCAAAACCCACTGCAGAAAACCAATCTAATATTTCTAGGTGTACCAGAAGAATCTGAAAAACTGCACCATAACTCAGTTACAGACCATACTTTTTTCAAAGTTTCTCAAACAGCTTGAAAGCTGTTTAAATTTCACTAAAAGTAGCAACAACAGTGATAATGATGATATGCTAGACAGAACCTACCTATGCAGAATGTGAAGTCAGGAGGAGCTTTCATGAGGTTTTGGGGAAATGGAGAATAGCAGTAAGGAATCCTCAACATGAATTATAACTTCTCGCATCTTCATCATTAGGTTTTTAAAGATTAATTGTTTTTGTATTGTAGCAGCTATTGGATTCAGTTTAGAATTAACTTCAGAATCAGAGTAACAGCAGAAGTTACAGTAAATGGCTGTATTTTTCCTTATCATGTGAATGCCAGAAAATCTCTACTCTGTCTGCAAAATATCAGTATGCAACTCAAACAAATGCACGTTGCAACTACCCACTTTATATCAAAGTGTAACTCAAGTGTCTGTTATAAACTACAGTCCTGAAACTGGACTAAGAAATATGATCCTATCCACTTAACCTCCACCAGCATCAATCCTGCTCAGCAAAGAAATCAGAAACACTCTATTAAATAGGCTTTTTCATGTCAGTCCCTTGACAAAAAGGCCTGAAAGAAATGTTTCTGAAGAAATGTTGTTCTCTTTAAAGCTAGAATTTTGCTTTTCCTGAGTTTAGTCTTTATGAAAATTGCTGGACTAACAGCCCTAAAAAATTGATTTCATCTGTCTGTTCAGATTACAGAGAGCATTAAGAATTTCTTGTAAATTATTCCACCCTGGCGTGAGTATAGATTGGCTTCCACCTACACTCATGTCCAAGCATCTCTGATGAGGCAGACAGTGGTGCTAATTGGTGGGTTAATTTCGCAATGTTGATTACTGTCTGCTAGGAAAGGTATGAAGCCCACCATCTGATTTTCCACAGATCACCAAACAACTGAGAGATGATAACAATTAAGTCCTTGCCAGACTACACAGATGGAGTTCAACTGCTGATTGTTTTCCAAACTCTTTAGCCAACTGTTCCTTACTTCTGAATATTTCCAAAAAAGCAACAAACTCTCAAAAAACCCCCCTTACCTTTTTATGAGATCCCAAATGTGAATTTACTGTTCTAATTGTATATATGTACTGTAAAATTACACCACAAATAATAAGTGTGAGAAATTTTTTTAGTATTCTGTCATAGTAATGAGAAGACTTTTTTCCACATATTACACCAGATATGTCTATAGGTTCATGAGCAGAATTGGAGGAGCTGGCTCATCCTAGGCTGCACATTTTCATTAGTTCTCCAACTTGTGTTCCAGCCTCACTGGTACTCAGCCATTTGCTGTAGGTGGTAGTAGAGCTGTGGGCAGACGTTTGTCAGTAGTCATCTAAAGCTAACTGGAGCACACAATAACAGTAAAAACATTTGTCCAGCCTACATTTCTGTTCTGACATTACCAGATTTATGGCAGTCACACTGAAGCTAGATGACAGTGAAAAAATTACAAGACAGCATTCGTCTTGTGCAGTATAGACAAGTGAGAATCTAAGAACCGCATTCCTTGAGGTTGGACAGTGTTTCAAAACCTGCTTAATTTGTTCTGCCTTTCCTGACCATTGTAGATAAAATGCCTAAATTTTGATAAAATCCTGATATTGATGGGGTTTTTTTTGCACAGAACAAATTCTTATTTAGGAATTAAAAGTCCTTGTGATCAAATACTGTTGATAAATATGAGAGACTGACATTTCTGTTATAGCAACAACGTACTTTATTTTACCAATATGTGAATTAATATAATTGTCTCCCAGACAAATACCATCAAACCAGAAATTAATTTAAAATAATCCTGCAGGTGTGGTATCAAGCAACAATAATGACAAAGCCCTAAAATTTTAATTCCTAAAAAAGTTGTAGAAACATAGTAAATATATGGAAGAGCACTATCAAGTACATTAAAACCTACGTAGTTGTAGGATATATACCCTTATCTTTAAGTGCTAACATTGGGTTTTCTTGAGGAGATTCACACTTTTATATTTTAAATTAATTAGAAAATAAAAGTGAAAGAACAGTAAAGCCATAATGTTCTTGCTTACACTACAAAGAATAGTATTTGGTGACATTATGGCATCATTTAGAAAATCTATAGTTAAATTACCAAAAGTGATCAAATAATTACATAAAGGAAAATTTATTTTAAAAATTGTATGTTTTTCTCAGAAGAGTATCTTTCTAATGTAAATTAAAAATGTGTAGCAATATTTTAAATTTACATTTTGGCACATTCCAAATCTAAATGCTGTTTGATGTTTTGGATTCCCCTCCACATACTCTAAAAGGCATTTAATCAGGTGCTATCTTGCAGTCCTTTGGATAATTAACATTGCCATTGTTGCCCCAGTTGCATGTGAAAGATGCATGTGTAAGATTGTGAGTGGCTGAGAGAGCATAAACTTGTAGTTAGGTTTGACTTGTTTGCATTTACCAATGGAAAACTGGAAAGATTGAGGCTCTAATGTATATCTTTGCTTAGAAATGTCACAATGTCATTGATTGAGAACTTCTGATTGTCATTATAAGGTGTTATTTTTTGATAGATTAGGCAAATAAAAGTTACTCCCTGAGCATTTTGCTGCAGCTGGCTATGATGGAAAAAGATTTAATTGAAAACATTCAAGTTATTGTATCTGATTCTTTAAGTGAAGAATCCATAGAACAGCTGGTTTTTTTCGCCAAAATTCTTCTTGGGAATACTAAAATAAATTAAAATGGCTATTCCCTGAACTTCAACATGCAGTTGTCAAAGCCAAAACTCTGCAAGCCAGAACATTCTTATCAGTGCAGAAGAATTTGGGACCTCATTTGTAATGCAAATCACCCAGGCAAATCATCATTGTCAAATGCGCTGAAGAACAGAATATTCCTATTGAACAAATTACTCACCAAGAATCACAGCAACAACAGTGAAGAGCACAAAGGCATTCCTCAATAAATAACTTTTAACATCATCCTTTGTTATGCTCTGCACTTTTTTTTTTGCCAGAAGTGTACGTTTCCGGACTCCTTGTTGAATCCGCTCCATCCTACTTCCAGTTTTTGGTTCTTCGCCGTTGCCTTTAGTCATCTGTCTTGCAGAATGTTTTCTTTTATAATTAACTTCTGTCAATATCCCTTCAGAAAAGTGGAAGACTCTTTTCTATGGCAGGTAGTGGAGAAATCTGCAATACAAGAAATATCAAATATTGCAATAAGATTTTAAAGGAATAGTTAGCCATATGTTTACATGGAAGCGAATAGTCTTCATGTTTCAGTATAACTTGTATTATTTGTAATAACTAAGTTATTTTTCATACATAGCCTCAATGACTGTTAAAGAACTCTTTGAAAGAAGGATTATGTGGACTGATCAGATATGTGTCCTGTGTCTTCAGAAATTAATTTGAATTCCTGTCATGCTGCAATATCCAGGAGTAACATTTTTTTGTGCAGTTATTTGTGGTACAGTAATGTAAAATTAGTACAATTCATAGAAGCATAAGGTAATCTAATGTTTAAAACTACCTCTCAGGCTTGCTTTTCATCTGTTTAGCAGGCCCATACTATCTGAAAAAACTTCTAGCTCACCTTCACATTGACCATTGGAGAGAAATATTTTGCTTGAACTGGTACATTTAAAATGTTCTGCATTTCAGATGTTTTTAAATGGTTGAATGCATTGGCTGAATTCCTCTTTTTCACATGGCAAAGCGCAGCAGGAATAGTTTATTTATCCCTCAACCTCTATTTAGAAGATATGTCTTTGACAGTTTTATGTTGATAACATTCATCTTTGAAGTGTATAAACTATTCAGAGCACATCTGTAAAACATCAGAAGTTATATCCCACTTAGCTTGTTGCTTCAGACTGTAAAACAAGTTCACATTGAAATGTAATCCTTAGCTTGGCTTGACAGCAATTACGGGGATATAATCTGATTTCAAGAAATCACACACTGAATCAACCTTAAGTTGTTTTAATATTAAAAGTCCTCTTTAGGGTTTTTTGTTTGTTTTTTTCTTTCTTTCCCCCCCACCTTTTTTTTTTTTTTGTGTGTGTGTGTGTGTGTCTGCTCGGTATGAATTTATTTAATAATCGAGCCTGTACAAAGGTATTTTCCAGACTGGGAATTCCATTTTCTGAAGTCTTAGATAATACTCAGGCATGTTTTTATGAAAAAATTAGAAATTAATAAACGGATAGAGTTAGTTGCTTCCACTGAAATCTCTCTCCATTTACAGACAGTTCAGCTCTAACATCTGACTTCAAATAAATCTAGTGCCTAAATATCTTTTTTTTCAGGAAGCGCTTAGAATATAAATACACAGACTTTTCAAACAACATGTTTTAGAGGAAATACCATGTTGTAACAAATTTATTTTCATGGGATTAATCACTGATTCTACCATATGTTTCAAGACTGTCATGTTGGTGCAGTATAGTCTCTGAATTTTGATAGAATGCTATATGCTTTGCTTCTTTAGAGAGTGGAAACATTTTGAGACTGAGCTAGATATTTTAATTAGTAAGTACTCTAGCTTGGACATGACTACGGTGTGCAAGCAGAGTTTTTTTCAGAACAATTAGTTTTAGTATTTTGTTTAAAAAAAAGATTAATTCACAGTGCCTTTTCATTCCAAGATGATTAACGCAGGCTATCTGTCCTTTATAACTTACATTAAGATCAAAAAAAGAACATGGATACAGACAAAAGGATCATTACTACGTTAAGTAACATACAAAGGCAGAGTGAAAAATTAAGACTTCATACTCAAAACCTCACCAAACGAAACAATCGGCTCACCTTTTCAGATCTTCAGTACTCTAAGAACACAGTGGTGGCAGTTAAGGTAGGGGTTTCCCAGCAAATACAGCAGAGCTGCGGAGATGAGCGAGCAGGAGACAGAGAAAACTGACAATCTGCATGTGCTCCGGAATACAGCAATTTACTATCACTGTAACTTAAGGAAAGGGGAGGAGACTGTTAGCCCAACTCTGAAAAAAATAAAAACACATCAGAAGAGAGGGGAAAGCTGAGCTTCTGGAATATTGATTAGTCTTGGCACAGTGAAAGCAGGGTCACTTTCTTTGTTTTTCCTTTTAGACCACTTTCACGCTTTGTCAGTTCAGCTTCGTTAGAAATGCAAAATCAGAACCCAGGAAGAACTGAAGGATCGCACACACACAGAGAGAGAGCAGGGGAGGCTGGAGCACTCCTTCATTAGACATTCCAGGCTGGAAATCTGAAAAGCCTAAACATAATTATATAACACTACTTCTGTGCGTTTTAAAATAAATGGCAAAATATCTGACCGTGCTAGTTTGTTCTAACAAGAGACATGGTGTGAGTCTACCACGTATTTTCTCATTCTTAAAGACAGTTATTCATGATCTACTCTTCCCAGGGTGGGGAACCAGACATATCTTTCAGAAGCAACTGGAGCATTATCAAGAACAGAGAAAAACACAATCATCTATAATTCTTTGTATGTTTCTTGTAGATATTCAAAACACATGATCAGACTTGCCTCTTGTTAAGCAATTTAAACTCACCAGTACTAAGCACCATTCAGCCCGTTTCACTAGCATGGAATGAATAATGAAGGGTAAAGCATAAAGAATCCACTTTTGAAAAATAAGTGGCCTTCAGTTTTTTTACCACTTAGAAGTTTGTACTATTGAAAAGATATTTGCAGAGGAGAGTCTGGGGAATTCCCAAAGACCTTCTTTCACTTTTTTGAGGAATGCTTTTATCTGAAATGTTAGTAAAGTCAATTTAAAATAGTTAATCATTACATTTCAGCACATCTTTTCAGTGACTTTTAAATGTATTTCCTTATAAGATGAACAAATATTGTAAATGGAAATATATATAAATTTATGCTAAACATATAATTTAAGAAGTTTGTTTACACATGATGCAACTTTTAATGTTGTTTTCCTGGAAAGTAATTTTAAGTGTACAGAAATAATCTTATGTACTAGACACACAAAAAATAATAAGGTATGAAATAAAATGAACAGCAGTGTTACTTCCATACAGTCACAGTAATGGTTTTCCTAAAGTGTTTTCTAATTTGAATGTGCTTCAAATAATGCTGTATAATGTAGATAAAAATAATCTTAGTTTAATGCAAACTTGATTATGATTAATGTAGGTTTGAGATTGAACTGTGTACCACAGAATCTTGATCTTAGGTGTTGGACTTAGAAAGTAAGCATCAAAATTAACTTATTGACTTAAAAAAGCAAGAAAAAAATATTGAGAGATTGTGTTGCAAAGAAAATACACATACTGTATTTTCTTATACCTGGTAGTTTAAATGTCTATCTCATTCTTATTTTTTGTTGTGCAGTTTTAAAATACTTTCACCATTTTGCCTTGAGATAGGAACTGACCTTTGACCTTTAGTGATCCACTTATTTGATCTTTTTTTTTGGGGGTATGGCATGTTTTCTGTGAAACCTCCCCGATAAGGACTTCGTTCCACCCTCTGTTCATATGAATAGTCATGTTCCAGTTGCCTTAATGGGATAGAGGTCAGGCCCCAGATAACGTGATCCAAAAGACTGTCATCATTTAATGCTTTCATTAATAATGGAGTCTATGAGAAATGAGGATAATACTGCGGGAGAATTAGCTATTCAGTGAGACAAAATGAAAACAGACAATAAGCAGTCGTACACCTCATCTTAACTTCAGCTGTGATACTTTTATTAGCTGTCAGTGAGCAACAGATATTATTACAGAGTGTTAGAAAAACACAATATTAAGATCTTTTTGGCAACATGTTCTTGTTCAAAATGTTCTTTCTCTATTTTTTCCTTTCTTATATTAAAATAAACATGTATTTTAGATATCCCTGGATAGCAATAAATGAGTCACAGTTTATAGTACAGTGTTGTGGTAAGGCATGAGCTGTCTTTTTCTACCTGCCAATCCACAGAAATGCAGCACTCAGATCACAGCTAACCCTTGCAGGAGATTAAAACCTTCGCGGGAACAGAAGCACAGACACCAATATGATGGCTGCTACTTGTTCAACTTACTAGCTGTGCAATTGCCTTATATATGCTCCTTAAAGGGATCCACCTTAAGCATGGCTGTGTTTTGGTAACATTCTTCTTTGGCATGTTTGATTGGTTCCCTATTCTTCCCGTACATCGCGAGGTCTTCCGAGCGCCTCTCCCTACACTTCCCCCTCCCCATGCTATATAGCTATATTTGTAATAATTGAAGTGCTTGTTGTTCTATTTCTTCATATGTAGGGTTTTTTTACTCCATTTCCCTTTTTCCTTTGCTTTCTCTTTGTTCTTTTCCTGTATTCACCACAGCTGCTGCATGCTTCTCTGTAGTGCTTGCCCATACGTTGGGTCTGGGCGAAATGGTTCGTCTAGCGAAAGATCTAAAAGCCACAGAAAATCTGCAAAAACTTTTAAGAAATAGTTATTTCAGGTTTTATACATTGTGCAGATATCCATTTATTTAAACCATCCTTTTCCACTGCTGCGTACCCACGTCCAAACACTCTCAGCGACCAGCCCGATTCCCATGCCATCGCTCCCGGTTCCTTCATCTGAACCAGTTTTTTGCCGCCTGGGTTGGCATAATGTTTTCACAGGGGAGGTGTGGACTTGTCGCCTCTAACAAAATGATTTAAAGCATAAAGGGCATGGGACCAAAGAGTCTGCTGTCTGTCTATGGGTATTGTCCCCTTGTGACCTTCCCCCTCCCCAAGCTGTTGTAGTTTTGCTTTTAGGGTGCCATGCGCACGTTCCACTACTGCTTGCCCTTTTGCCCTCTATGATTGGTCCCAGCGTGGTGTCCATGCGCTGTTCTCCTGCTGGGCAAACATCTTGCTTTCAACAGTACAGCTTTCTTATCTTTTGCTACGCACACTGCTTGTCAGCCCCTTGGTTTTACAGGTGTTCTTCACAACAGCTACAGCCTGTTGTTACAGTGAGGCCACTTGGTCTGGATCACTCATAACATGTCTGTTGTTTTTTTAACCAGTCCATGAACCCCTCTTTTGTTTTTGAGCAATCTAGACTCCTTTTGTTGTTCAGTCCATCATTTTCATAAAACACTTCCACACACAGCTTAACATCACGAAAAGATTACAATGACAATTAAAGCAGTTATTCTACATAAAATCAAATTCTTTAACCATCTAGTAATTGGTAACCTTTTAGCTGAATCATTATTAAATATTCTTTCTTCTTCGAGTTGTAAACCTATTGTGTAAGCATCACTACAAAACCAAGTGTCATTTACTGGTACTGCTGAAGGAGTCATGTTTTGCCATCCTAGCCTATATACATCCCCAGGCCTGATCTTTCATGCTATTCCCACCTACTGGGGGAAGAGAGCCTCTCAGCTCTAACTCCAATCAAACAGGTCTGAGATGGGTCGGCAGCAGTTGCTAAGCCCAGGCAAAATGTCTGCTGTCCTGATTGATTTTTCCCTGCCACTTTGGCACAACTCAGCAGTTTCTTATCTAACTTATGACGCTTGTTCTTCATCAAAGCTTAGCTGTTTGTCGGAAGCCGTGTAAGTCCCACGTCTCTCAGATCTCGTCTTTCTCTGTTTTGCAGCAGCATCTGCAAGACTTGTTTGGGAGCTGTTATCAATTAAGGGTTAGATAAACTTCAAAACACAGCATACTCAGAATAGTTCCACAGAAGGCTAAAACAATACAGCAGTTACAATTACTAGTTAAAAAGAATAGGCTAATTTCACTACCTATAAATAAGGGATATGACTAAATATTACAAAAATAAACAGTAAGGAAAATACAGAATAGCATACTTACTTAATAGAAGTAATAACATTCAGATCAGCAATTGCTAGGGAACACTGGATGCAGCGAGAATTTAGAGTACACTTCCTTACAAACTGGAAATTCTATGCAATGAGTCCATCCCTAGGTGAGGCATCCAAAGTCACTGCAAGCAGGTCCAGCCTCTAAATCAACAGGCCAAAATAACTGATACTTTTCTTTCAGTGGAAACATCTGATTCCATCCTCCTGTTGGGTTCCACCCAGAGCCTGGCCAGCACTCCAGGGGGAAAACCAAAGGAGTTTCTAGAAATGTTAAACACTTAAGCTCTTAATTCTTTATATTGCTAAACAAAGAAAGTTGAATACACACATTCTTACAGAATTTAATCCTTAATAATAACTACATTCCATCTAAACTACATCTTTCACTAGTGACTAGTAAGCCTATATATCTCATTAAAGAGTTGCAATTACTGTTAGTATTTTCTCTTAAAAGAATTAGCAACTGTAGTGTAGTTTGTTCTGCTGCAGTAGCAAACATTACCCAGACATTCTGCTTAAATTATCAGACGAAGAGATTGCAAACAGTTGGTACAGGGGCACCCACAGCACCCACAGCTGGCTCCTGAGTGCTGGCTGCCTCTCACACCTCAGGTGTGGTTGCACACACCTTGCTGGTGATCACCACGGACTGTGACCTGTGAAGACACAAGCATAACCTCATCCCCAGGTTATTAAAGAAAATGGTCCTTTCCAGTTACCCCTTTCTAGGTTTTTGTTAACACTTGAGCTTTGCTTTGGACTTCTTGTTGATCTGGTATCTGTGATGAGAAATAACACAATACTGGTGGCACCTGTGAGACAGGGGAAACGTTTAAAAGGTTCATGACATATAATGCCTTATTTAGCCTTTTGTGAGGTGTAGATTGATACTGTGCATCTTCCCTTTTTTATTGTTGTAACAGACTCTTTAGCTTTAGTGAGAGTACATTTTACTAGAAGTCAATCTTGTGTCACTGTCTGAGCCCAAAATATTTAAGGGGCACCTGCTGATCCAAATCCTGAGTAATTGTGGCTTTTTGGTATACTGTTAGGGGGAGCCACAGTAAAATAAGCAAGCTGAATAATTTTTGACCCTTTTGTTACAAAACACAGGGGTTCAGGCCATAATTCTGATTTTCCTCTTCATAACCAGCATCAGGTTGTAGATGATCTTTTGACAATATTTCCATCAGGCAGATGGTCCAGAGGTGCACTCTCCCCGCAGAGCATACACCTAAATTCAAGACAACAATC